GTGGAATGGGGATTTCTTAGAACTATAGCCAGTTCACTGGAGACCTGGGAATGGGCTGAAGGTGACATATTGTCTCCCTGGATTTTTACCAGTCTCATGATTCCAGCCATCGCCTTGGACCACCACGCCTGATTGGTGTTGCCGGGTGTCCTCCTTCCAGGGAGGGATTTTGCAGCTCTTTGGCTGAAAGGAAGCGCTCTGTGTGTGTATGTGTGTGTGTGTGCGCGCGCACGCGTGTGCGCGTGTGTGTGTGTGTCTCACACTTAATGCATTGTCTTCTTTTTATTTAGGTTGGGGGTGTGGGGAGGTGGTGTGGGTAGGGGACGCAGGGTGGGAGGGTCCTTGTCTTTGAAGTGAGAGCTTCCTTTTACCTTCTTCTGTTGCCTCTGAGAGCTTTGGGTCCGGGCCGGAGCACCAGGCCGTGGGCTTGCCTGCATTTAAAACCTGGAGATGGTGGACGCACCCCAGCCTTTTTGTCTCTGGGGAACTGTCTTCAGAGGGAAGGAGGTAGGGGGATGTGAATTGGTTGTTAGTTTCTGAGTTTTACCAAATAAAGTAGAACCTAAGAAGAAAGATCCATTTGTTTCTGCTCTTCTTCCCACCTCCCAGCTCGCCCACGTCCCCGGTCATCTCCCTGCAGCCTGTTTCCCTCCCTGGTAGCAGCTGATGAGCTCACTGGTCCTTGCTGCCAGACAGCGGCCCCTCTCTTTCCCCAAGTGACCACTTCTGGGGCATCCATCCCAAGGAGGATGGGGGTCAGGTTTTTGAAATTTTGAAACCAAAGAGGTCTTGGATGCCCTGGGCTCCAGTCCCTACCTATTCCCAGTTGCGTCTCTGTTGGTGACCCGTGGGGCTGGGGTTGCTCCAACTCCCTTTCCTGACGTCGTTTTATGGCCTCCCGTCAGCCACCATGGCAAGTGGCTCCTGCTCCTTCCTGCTGCTTGTTGCCACGTGCCCTTTAGATTCTGACTTTATGTCCCCTGGTTGAATCAAGTAAACCTTTGGCTTAAAAATATAGAAGTTAGGGATGTTTGGGGTACACTCTGTCCAGGGAACAAGCTTGTCTTCTCTGAGCTCGGTGGGTCAGCATCTGGCCCACATGGCCACCGGTGCCCCAGTGGACAGGAAGCCTGCTCTGTCGCCACAAGGGAGTGGCGTTGATCCTGGGCTTATTGGCAGACTCCTTTAAGGCCAGCCTTCGATACAGTGTCAGCAAAACTGCGGTTTCAAGTTCAAACCATGGTTTTGAGAGATTCTAGCTTAAGAGGAACGGGCAAGGCAACATCGCTGCCTTGGGGTCTTCTGGAGTGAGCGTCCTTCCTTGGAGACATTTCTGGTGTTTCATTGCTGTTCTGCCCTTATTCTCCTGGGAGCTTTGATTTTATTTTTTGGGCAGTGGTTGAGGTGGATAAGGATCTTCAGCAAAAAAGTCAGCATCTCTCAAAGCCACAGTTTGAACTTGAAACTCAACACTGATTTGAGGCCTTCCAGTCATGACTGGAATGGAAAAGGCCCACCCCCAGGCCGGAGACCAGCTTTAATGAGGCAGGCGAGTGACAGACTCCAGGCTTGATGGTTTAAACAATTTAATCTTAGATGGGAGGACTGACTAGAAGGTGCCAAGTTCAGAAAGAACATGGAGGGATTGTTATTTGGGGGTTTGCAGTGGTCTGACCCGCAGGCACAGACCTGCTATGTGGAGTGAATGTTATCACAGCCATTTCAGTCTTGACTTTGGAAGCTGTGGGCCCTTCCAGATTTTAGTTTCCTGCAGTCTAAGAATCTTCCCTCAGGATTGAATTCCAGCGATCCTTTGGACACTGACCTGCTGCCACACTCCCACATCCCCCTGCCTGGAAACCACTGGTTACCTCTCTGGGGTGAAAGGTCCCTTTGGTGCTTGGGGCCGCCAGCTGGAACGGCTGCTCTCCTCACAGGCGCTGATGAGCCAGCCACGCTCCAGGCCTCTGTTCGAAGGGACCTTTGGGAGAGTAACAGAAACACTGACTCATCATATGACCGTTCGGAAGGTCACAAGCCAGAGGCTGCCTGTCCGCAGCCAACAACAACTTGGATCCTCCGCCCTTGGTGGAGGGTCTCTTGTTGCTGAGAAGCCACAAGCCACAGGCGTGGAGTGGAAAGTCATCGCGCTGTCACGAAGGGATCCGCCCAGGGTAGTCCTTGAAGACGAGCAATAGTAAGTTAGAGACTCTCAGTCCCAGTTTTGAGAAGCCTCAGGTTGAAACAAACCCAAAGACCAGAGAGCATGGGAAAACCAAACCACAGCAAACTTGCTAGCAGGAGCAAGGTAGGGACAGTGAGATCAAAGAAATGGGCGATGAGAGTAATGCCAGGGGCTGTTCAAAAATTTTTTTCTTTTCATATTCAGCCACAGACACATCCTGAGCTGAGCACAGATAAGCATTTTTTTTTAATATTTATGCATACAAGAACTGGGGTACAGGCCAGAGGTGTGGGGGGTGAGAGGATTCACCAGAGACAGAGTGGGGAACAGAACAGGCAGATGGACTGAAGTACACTGCCAAGGGGAGCAGCCGGCGATTCAGGAGAGGTCTGCCGCGCCATGTGGGTTGCTCCCTGGCCGGGGATTGCTTCATAGATTGCGTCTTAACCCCTTGCGCTACTAGGGAGGCCCCAGATAAGCATTTTCTTTAAGAGGAGTTGTGTCGCTATCCCAGGGGCTCGCTGCCAGTCTGCCTGGTGATGTGGAGGGAGGGGCCGCAGAAAGCAGTCAGACTCGGAAGGAAGCGCCAAGTTGACTGGAGTGGGAGGAGACGCACGCGCTACCACGGCATGTAAAGGGAAACCTGCCCTGTGTAAATGTTGAGTTTGTGGGCCCGGAGGAAGGAGCGCCTGCCAGACAGGGAGCTGTCTAGGGGGTCTAGGTAGGAATGACAAGGGCAAGGGACCTGTGGATTTTTGCGGGCTCACCTCTGGGTGAATTTTAGGTTTGTCCCTATTTTTTTTTTAAAGATTTATTTATGCATACAAGAACTGGGGTACAGGTCAGAGGTGTGGGGGGTGAGAGGATTCACCTGAGACAGAGTGGGGAGCAGAACAGGTGGATCTGCTGAAATCCACTGCTGAGGGGAGCAGCGGGCGAGCGAGACAGGAGAGGTCTGCTGCTCCATATGGGTAGCTTCCTGGCCGGTCCAAGAGCAAACTCCTGCTGCAGAGGCTGCAGGTAGCTTCTCGGTGCTGTGCTTAACCCACAGTGTTGTGCTTAACCCACAGTGTTGTGCCATCAGGGAGGCCCTGTCCCTATTCTTGACTAGCTCGGCCTGATTTCTGATTTTGTGGGCACGGAGAGTGGATATTGAGGCCATTGCAAGTACCAGCGAGGAATGCAGCGTGAGCACTGGAGGGAGAGAGCGAGAGGGGGGTGGGGGGCGGCGTTTGAGGCAGGAAGGAAAGATGCCCTAGGATTCTGAGGGGTTAAGGCCTTGCAATGGATAGAAATGTGGAAGTTGGGTTCATCTTCCAAGACAGAATGTTTTGGCAACCTATTGACTGAGATTTTGTTGCTGAAATGAGTAGAGCAAGGAGTTGGAGCTGTAGTGGACCGAACGATCGCGATAACTCACTGTCTTCAAACCGGCCATGTTGCTTAAGTGAGAAAATGGGTCAAAACGAGTGGCAGGCCTAGCTGCCAGCATCTGGGAAGCAGCCTCACGGGTTCAGGCGAGGAGACCCGCTTAGCAGCGTGTGTTTAATCAACAACATAAAAACATGACAACAAAAAGCATCTGAGATTTTCCTGTACTGTAAACTGTTATGAACTAAGAGCGTCCGGGAGTTGCCAGAAGAAACCAAGTAATACCAGGCTGTGTTTAGAAAGCACGGTGTGTGGAAGGAAGGAGGCACCGGGCCAGGCCACGGCTGGCACGCCATGCTCGGTGCCGGCCACCCATGTTCAGGACTTCGGTGACCGGCTGGGCACGGGCGAGGTTTCGCTGGTGGTTTCGCCGCGAAGTAAAACACCTTCCTAACAAATGCAGCGGTTCTCAACGGGACAGGGCGGCCTCTGGCAGCTCACGAGCTCCTCATCCAGAAATGTTGAAGCAAAAGCTTTAACCGGCCGGCTTTGAGTGGCCAGGGAAGATTCCCGCACGGAGCCCAGGCGGAGTTCCCACACACTTCCAGCTTTCTCCCCACCCAGGATCCTCATTTCCACCCTCCACCTGCTCCCCACCTCCCTGCCTACCAGCCTGGGGGAGGGGAAAGAGGACCCTCCAGATGTGCCAACTGTCCCACCTGCTTCCTCACTCCCAGTGGTGCACACTGGCCTTCTGCCCCTTGGATGCCAAGAGGAGCCTGTGGATTCGGCCTGGCTACTGCCCCCTGGCCAGAGAGTAGATGCATTGACCCCCACGCTGGGCGAGGGCGCAGACCACTGGCGGCTGGGCTCTGGGCTCAAGCGGCCTTGCAGCCAATACCCCCCAACGTCCTGGGGACCCATTTGCACGCTCCCACCTTCCCGTGCCCACACAGGCATCCTGGGCTCCCCGGTGATGTGATCTGCAATGCCCGGCGTGAGCCTCCAGCGCCAGCCTTGTTCCCGGACATCTCTCTCTTCCTGAGGCCGCCGACTGGCGCCCACAACCCTTCGCAGGAAGCCGACTCCCAGACCCTGGCAGGGGGCGTGGGCCGAGGGCGAAGCCCCGCCCGCAGGGGTCCCTGATCTTTGCCCTAGCCTGGGGCTCCGCGCCGTCCTAGGAGGCCCTGCGCGGGGCGGCGCTGCCTTTTGTGTGCTTCCCTCTCAGGTGCCAGAGACCCCGCGCCCCCAGTCCCCCCCCCACCATCCCCACGCGGCCCCCCGCCACCCCGCTGCCTCCCCAGCCCCCTGCTCTCTCCGCGTGCCAGCTCGGGGCTCGCTGGTTCGCTCCCCGCGGCGCCGGGAGGAGGGGCGAGGGCCGCAGCCCCCTCCCCCGCGCGCGCCGCCGCCGCCAGCCGAGCCGGGGGACCCGCCGCCGCCGGCCATGTGGGCCGGGCTGCTCCTGCGGGCCGCCTGCGTCGCGCTCCTGCTGCCCGGGGCCCCGGCCCGCGGCCACAGCGGGAGGAAGCCGCCCGGGCTCTTCTCCGCCGAGAGGTGAGCGCCCGCGCCCCTCCGCGCCCCTCCGCGCCCCTCCGCGCCCTGCCCGGGAGCGCCGGCGCCGGGGCGCGCGGCGGGGAGCCGGCGGCGCGGGGGGCGCGGAGGGGCGGCCGGCCGCCCCCAGCCCGGCTGTCTCGGGCGCTGTCCGCGCGCGGCGCAGCCCGGGGCGCCGGACAAAGAGGCGGGCGCGGTGCCCCTCGGGGGTGCGCCCTGCGCCCTGCGCGGCTCTGCCGGCCGGACGCGGCTCGGGGATCCCGGCGCGCGCGGGGCTCGGCGGAGCCCGGGGCGCGCCCTCGGGGCTCGGGGCTGGCGGCCGTTCGCCCTGGCGCGCGGGGGGCGCTGCCGGGGCCGTCCCGGCCCCTCCCGCCGCGGGCTCGCCCCGCGCCCCTGCTGCCCGCCCGCCGGACCTGGGCGCCGGCTCTCCCGGCTCGTTTCGGTTTCCGCCCGCGAGCGCCGGCGCGGGTGGGGGTCCGCCCGCGCGTCCCGAGCGCGGCGCCCCCGGCGAGGCTCCCGGCGAGGCCCGGCCGCGCCCGCGGCGAGCGCGTGATGCGCGCGGCGAGGAGCCGGGCGAGGCGGGCGGCCGGGCCGCGGCTCCGCCCGGGGGCGCAGGGAGGCGGCCCCGCCGGCCCCCCGTTCGCCTGGGTGTCGCGCGCTCCCCGCCGGTTCCTGCGCCGGCCCCGCCGGGGCCCTCCCGCCACCTGTCCCCCGGCCGCCGCCGGCCCGCGAGGCTTCCCAGCTGCTCCGGCGGGCGCGCGGCCCGGCCTGTCCGCGGGCGCCGCCCCCCGCCGTCCCCCCAGCTCCCCCGGCCGCTGCCTGCCTCTCCCGGCCTCCCCCTTCTGCACTGGCCTCAGGAGGGGGGAGCCTCCCTCAGGCCCCAGGGACAGTTTCTGCAGAAGCCTCCGCCCTGCCCGGTGCTCCCAGCTTCCCTTTCCTCAACACTCGTCCTGCCCACGCAGCTCGTTCCCCGAGGGCAGGTGAGGGTCTGGTCGCCCACCTGCCAGTGGTCGTCACCATGCGGCAGGACATTCCCATCTGCCTCGGAGCACGGGTAGATTTTCACCGCCCTGTTGGGTCCACTGGGATTCCCAGTGCAGACCAGACCCGGCTCCCTCAGCCCAGCGCAGCCCGTCACGGGAGCAGTGCCCTCGGGGAGGCCCGGGCAGCGTCCTGGGTAAAGACGTGAGCTGGGTGTGTCTGTGGAAGAGCCTTCCTCATGGAGGGAACTGCATGTGCAAAGGCCCTGAGGCAGCCATTCCTGTGACTCTTCATCCAGGGCTGTCTTTCCTCGTCAGCCTTGTGGTCCCTCTCCCCTGGCCACGCGTCACTGTGTTTTAGTGGCAGCTGTCTGTGGAAGACGCCTTTGCCTTTTGTCCTGGCTCCAGGAGACACTGTCTGCGTCATTTTTCTTTGGAAATTTCCCGTTGCCCTTCCAGGGGATTCTGACAACTGTTTGTTGACCGACTTATTGACTGACTGGGAGGTTCACTGACTTGTAGACTAACACCCGCCCTCCCCCCTAGAGATGGTGAAACGCGCTCTCTCCTCTCTTGTAGACGTCGGCTGGGACCGCATGTCTGCCTCTCTGGGTTCGGGAGTGGCTGCTGCCCTGGCTGGGCGCCCTCCTTGGGCAGTGGGCACTGCACCCTTCGTAAGTGCCCATCCCTGTGCCCCAGTAGCCTGCCTAGCGGGGCCCTCCCCTGGCTGTCCTGAGGGGCAGGTTGGGAGCCCAGACACACACCCTCGCCTGCATCTCTCCTCTCAGCCCTCTGCTCCTTTGGCTGCGGGAGTGGCATCTGTATTGCTCCCAACGTCTGCTCCTGCCAGGATGGAGAGCAAGGGGCCACCTGCCCAGGTAAGGGGGGTGGGAGCACCTTCGCTGCACTGAGATTATGTGGCAGACGCTGGACACCGGAGGTGCGTCCTAGCATCTCAACAGAACAGGCACTGACTGACTGAAATGCACTGCTGAGGGGAGCAGCGGGCGAGACAGGAGAGGTCTGCCGCGCCATGTGGGTAGCTCCCTGGCTGGCTGGGGCTCGAACTCGTGCTGCAGTGGCTGCGGACAGCTTCACAGGTTGCGTCTTAACCCCTTGCGCCACCAGGGAGGCCCACCTTCGCTCCCTTTCTCTACATGAGGAGACTGAGACGGAGTTAGTGGCTTCCCCTGGGTGACTGCTAATGAGTGACTGAGCTCGGTCCTGTTGGCTTCCACAGCCGCCTTCCCCAGGGAATTCAGGGCCCAGGAGGTGGGTGGCTGCCCTGGGCCACGGTGCCTGCTCACCGTGGGGTGCCTGATTCTGAAGCCCACAGGCCCTGCGGGGAGTATGGCTGCGACCTGGCCTGCAACCACGGCGGCTGTCAGGAGGTGGCCCGTGTGTGCCCTGTGGGCTTCTCCATGACCGAGACCGATGTTGGCATCAGGTGCACGGGTGAGAACGCTGGGAGCAGTGGGGGACGTGGGGGTGTTGTGTCTGCTCTCCAGCCTGCCAGGGTGGTCCCCGAGAGTCAAGCGGAGCCAGGCTGAGCTCTGAAGCGCGAGAGCGGGCAGGCAGGCACGCCTGACAGGGACGTGTGTCCCTTCTGCTAGGCCACAAATACTTGTTGAGCACCTTTTATGGGCCAGGAACGGAGCTAGGGGCTGGGGCTCCAGGCGGCCAGCAGGTCCCTGGTATTAGTTGCTTCAGAATATGGGGGCAGGGGAGGAGTAGGGCCAGCAAGAGAGTTTTTTCTCTTCGCAGACATTGATGAATGCCTGAGCTCCTCCTGCGAGGGCCACTGCGTGAACACGGAAGGCGGCTTTGTGTGCGAGTGTGGGCCTGGCATGCAGCTGTCCGCCGACCGCCACAGCTGCCAAGGTGAGCGGCTCTGGAAGGCGAGGAGGCTGCGTCCCCACGGTCACCTTGAGCAGGCCCAGCACGTGCCCTCCAAGAGTTGTGGCGTGGCGGCCGCCCCGAGTGCCACCGTGAGGGTGTTAGCCTCCCCACCCGCCGGGAGGAAGCTGAGGCTTGTCAGGAAGGGGAGGCGGCCGCTGGAGTCCCTGACCCTGACTCCAGGGCCCTTGTTTTAGACCACAGTTCGCTAGAAATGGCTGCGCCCAGGACCGAGGGTGGAGGGATGGGGATGGGAGAGAGCTAGAGGCACTGGGAAGAGGGGGCTGTGGGAAAGGGGACTGTGCGGGAATCAGTCATTCATTCACTCCCTCATTTGTTCCACCTGCCCCGGCTGGGGGGTGCGGCAGGGCGGGTTACAGACCCGTCCTGCTCTCCAGCGGGCCCTGCTGGTGGGGAGGTGAGAAGCGGGAGGTGGGCGTGTGGGGTAAGCCTGTGGGGTGAGCCTGTCGGGCACCCAGGGGCAGGTGCCGGCTTTTCATAGTTTCAAACGTGGACGCGGGGAGGCCTTGGCAGAGGAGGCTATCCAAGCCGAGTTTGGGGTGTGACTAGTCAGACAAGGTGGAAAAGCAGTTCAGGCAAACACGAGAGCTTGGGCACATGAGGAGCCCGTTTGGAAGGTGCAAGAATTTAAACTAAAGCAAAGGCAAGGGCAGGCGAGGATGTGGGAGAGGCCGCTGAGGGCTGCTGAGCTGTGGGCATCACGGGTGCCTGTGGGAGCCGTGGGGGGGGCTTTCAGCAGAGCGGTCTGATCGGAGGTGCCCCTTGGCCTGAACACCTGGAGGCTGTGCAGAGGAAGGCCCTGGAGGAGGCTGGGCTGGGGCCTGGCCGAGGCTTGGGAGAAGTGAGCTGGCCCTGGGAGGGGTTAAGAGTTGATGGACCTTGCGTGGACCATGAGAAAGAGGAGGGTTAAGCTGCTTCCCCATGGTCCTGAGGGGGCCGGGAGGTGGTGAAGAGAAAGAGGGCACACCCCCGCACACTTCCAAAACTCTTCGGGGCAGATGGGCTCCAGCCTGTGCTGTCCCCTTCCAGACACTGATGAATGCCTAGGGTCCCCCTGTCAGCAGAGGTGCAAAAACAGCATCGGCAGCTACAGGTGCTCCTGTCGAACTGGCTTCCACCTGCATGGCAACCGGCACTCCTGTGTAGGTAAGGTGGAGGACCCTGTTGTCTTCGAAGTTAGGCTGCCCTTCAGGGAGATGGACAGGGCGAGCCCTGGACAGGGAAAGGTCAGCAGTCTGCACCTCCGGGCCCCGAGTCTGCAAGGCCCGAGTCTCTGCTCCAGCCGGCCTCTCCCGGGATTGCGTGGCTCCCCAGGGGAGACCCGGTCTTGGACTTTTCCTGGCGACGTGCCTCTTTCATTCTGTTATGTTTCTCTTCCACCCTTCTCCCAGATACACCCCAAGGATTCCTCTCTGCTCACCCATTTTCTTGGCTGCCTTTGCTCCCCTGGGTAAATAAAGCACGTTATGTCTTGGTTCCTCTGGTTTAGAAGGAGACCCCCTGTTTTCTCAGTCCATTAGCAGAAGTTCCCACAAAGCGATTGGCATGTTTGACTTGAGCTTGGCTCCTGGGGTGAAGGTGGGGTCCCCTGGGCAGAGTCAGGTCTGTGTCCTGAACTGTCTGGTAGAACTGTGACTTGATCCTTTCATACCACCCTCCTGACGTTTGGGATGGTGGACGGCTGGAGGTTCCAGTGGGGCTCACCCCTATGACACCACTTAGTTATTGCTGTAAAGTGCTGGGGGATGAGTCACTGGTGCATCCATTAAATGCCTACTGGATGCATGAGCTTCCGAGGGGACTAGCACTAGGTTCCAGCTCCATCCCCAGACATCTGAGTCACATTCAGCCCCCTGAATGTGTTCCATGAGAACTTGGCAGGGAGACTCCCCGGCTTTTTGGGCTAAGGGACGGGAGGAAGAAGAGCTGAGAGCCGGGCCGAGGCCCTGTTGACAGCGCGGCTCCCCTGTAGATGTGAACGAATGTCGGAGGCCGCTAGAGAGGCGCATCTGTCACCATTCCTGCCATAACACGGTGGGCAGCTTCCTGTGCACCTGCCGACCTGGCTTCAGGCTCCGAGCCGACCGCGTGTCCTGTGAAGGTGAGCGCCAGGCCCAGCCCGGCTCCCCCGCCCGGCCCCACCCTGCCAGTACTGCCCCACAGCCTCAGACCCAACCTGGCTGGTGGCCCCTCCTGCCCTAGCCCTCTGCAACTCCCCCCCTCTAGGCCCCATCTCTAGGCACTAAGCCCCACCCCAAGTCCCTGGCCCTGCCCTCCAAGCATCAGCCCCCTCCCCTTGTGCCCTGTTCCCTCTAGAGAGAGAGAGAGAGAGAGAGAGAGAGAGAGAGAGAGAGAGAGAGAGAGAGAGAGAGAGAGAGGATTCACCAGAGACAGAGTGGGGAGCAGAACAGACAGACTGACGAAATACACTGCTGAGGGGAGCAGCGGGGAGACAGGAGAGGTCTGCCGCGCCATGTGGGTCACCTCCCTGGCCGGGGATCAAACTCATGCCGCAGTGGCTACAGATAGCTTCATAGCACCTAGACTTTAACTCCTGCCAAGCAGGGAGGCCTCCTTCTCCTTTACACATTCTTCTTCCCTGTACAGGTCACTATTTCCCTAACTCTTCTGTTTCCCCCCAAATGGTTGGTCAGAGGGGAAAAAACACAACCCCAAAGCCAATGATGGCGGGTGTGTGACCGCAGAGCCCCCTAAGCTGGCTTCCCAGGGATTCCTGGACTGTGTGGTGTCGGGGTGCTCGGCCACACTGGAGCCTTTGGACTTCCCTATACTGTCGCGTGCACACCGGGAGTGTCCTTTGTAGTTCGTGGCAAGCTTTCCACCAGGTGATCTCAGCGAGCTCGCCTGCCCCACGCCCCCGGCCCGGCCCGAGCCTGGCCTGTGACTCTGTTTCCTCTCTCCTACCCCCGCCCCGCCCGCCTCTTTTAGTTTTTCCCACTCAGTCTCTAGACTGTGGGGTCCATCTGCAAGAAAACGCCCCTTTCTCCTCCCAAGTGTGTGTGTGTGTGTGTGTGAGATTGTGTGGGAGTGTGTGTGTGTTTGGGCAAGACATCCTCTCCTGGGAAGCCGCACCTGGCTGGGGGAGCAGGGGACACGCTCCCCACTTGCTAGGGTGGAGGAGGAGGGAGGACATTCCCAGGACGTATCCCTGAGGGTCAAGAAAAGTGTGTGGCTCAGGAAACGCGGGTCTCCTTGGCGGCGACGGGGAGGGCAGGCGCATCTGACTCTCCACAGCAGCCGACCCTCAGCGTCCCCGGCCCGTAGCTTCCGCCCGCTCTTGGTCGTTCCTGCCGATCTCCTTGGGTGCCGGCGGCCGCCACCGCGGCACGGTGCTGGGGAGGCCTGGCCTGAGAGCCCCCGGCTTGTGCTGGCGGAGCTGCCTCCAGGTGCCCAGTCTCCACTCCTGCCCCTGCTGCCTCCCTCAGGAGACCCCTGTGTTTCCATTTCAGCTCTGCCAAAGGCCGTGCTGGCCCCCTCCGCCATCCTGCAGCCCCTGCAGCCCCCGCCCAAGATGCTGCTGCTGCTCCCGGAGGCTGGCCGGCCTGCCCTCTCCCCAGGACACAGCCCCCCTCCCGGGGCCCCAGGACCCCCGAGCGGAGTCAGGACCACACGCCTGCCGCCTCCCACCCCCGCCCCACCCACATCCTCCCCTTCTGCTCCGGGGCTGCTGCGGTCCACCCCCATGTCTAGTGCCCCCCTGGTGGGGACCCTCGGACCCCCCTCACAACTCCAGAAGGCGGTGGTGACCCCTTCCTGGCCCAGGGGTCCTGCAGCCACGCCGCCGGCACTGGCGCCCTCTGCGTGCTGGCACCTGGGAGCCATGTACGGGGCAGGCAGCCGCTGGACGGGGCCCGGGTGTTCCCAGTGCCGGTGCGAGGTGGGTGTGAGGGCGCGAGCGCGTCAGGGTCTGTGGGCGCCTGCCTGGGCCTGGGCCTGGGCCTTCGGGGGCTGGAACTCCTGCTTCTGCTTCCAGAATGGGGAGGTGACGTGTGAGAAGGTGACGTGTGAAGCTGCTTGTTCCCACCCGATTCCCTCCGGAGATGGGGGCTGTTGCCCATCGTGCACAGGTGGGGGCTGGCGGCGGGAGGCTGGGAGTTCCCCACCTGGTCCTGCCTCTTTCCTGCCCCCCCAACTCTGAGTTGAAAGTCTGTTCTCTGGGCTTCTGATTTAGCAGGCGTGGGACGGGGCCCAAAATTTGCATTTATAACAACTTGCCAGGTGATGATTGAGCCTGGGGACCACATTTGAGAACCCCTGGTCAGTGTCGTGAGAGCCCTCCAGGGGCACTTACCTTCTGGGGATCCTTTTTGACCTTCCTTTCTCCCTCCCTCCCTCCCTTTTCTGCAGATCCATTCTGCACCCCCTTCCTCTCCCCCAGCTCCCATCTCCAGCCACAGGTCGTCTGTCAGTTCCTCTCTGCTTTCCAGTTCCTTCCCTCATCTGCTCGCAGCCTTTCATTTGCTTTCCGCCCCTGTTAGGATAGAGACCCCAGAGGACTTCACAGGCTCTTTAGCAGGTCTCTGAAAATTCACCCTGCACGTGAATCCTGGGGTCTTGTTCAAACGCAGATCGCCCCTGAGTGGGCCTGGTGGGGCACCTGAGCGCCCACATCTCTGTACGGCTCCTGGCCGGCTGAGGTGCCGTGGGCAGCGGTGCAAGAGTCTAAGCGCTGGGCTGAAGGGCAGAGACTGACGACCCTAATGATAATTGTGAACTTTACTGTGCCCCTGAGCTCTGGGCACTTTATATCTGAGGCATGGGTTCCTTCGAGGGCCTGTGGGCACAGGTGGCGTGTCCCTTCTGCGGTAAAGACGGTGAGGCCCAGGGACATTAGGGGACATGTCAAGGTCACTCAGGCAGCTGGACAGGCAGGCTAGGTTTTGATCCCAGGGCTGCCAGGCCGCCTGTCCTCATGGGACTAAACGCCACGCTGCCAATCCTGCTCTGGGTTTATCCGACACGAGTGCAGCCTTCAGGGCATCCCGTGCGGTGTGTCTGGTAGCTCCTCCGGGTCCTAGGACCATTTTGGTCTCCTGAGTCTGTTGCTCCAGGGGCATCCGGACCTGTGAGAGAAGGTTCCAGGTACCTCCTGTCTGGAGAAGTAATGTGACCTCAAGCTTCCTCTTCTCTGAAGAGGTGCAATGCCCACTTCTATTTGTCTTTCAAAGGCTGTTTTCATGGCGGTGTCACCCACGCCGAAGGGGACGTGTTCTCGCCGCCCGACGAGAACTGCACCGTCTGTGTGTGTCTGGTGAGCTTCCCGGGAGCCGGAGCCTCCCGGGCATTTTCTTGACCTTTGGGGGGTTTTAGCTAAGGGAACGGGCAAGACCGGGTGTTACAGCTGAGCTGGTTGAATGGAAGGAGAGTTCTCTGGTTGTGGATCTCGGGGGACGTGTGCAGTCGGGAAGGCGTCTGCTGAGCAGCTGGGCCCACCTGTCTAGGAAGTGGGGGGTGGGAGCCCTCGGAAACTTCTCACCGGGGAGTTTGTATTTCTCTTCAGGAAAAATGTTTACCAACATAATAAAAATATCCACATTTGGGCTGGAGACGGCTCAGCCTGTTAGGTGTGTTTTCCTGCAGGCAAAGTCACTTTTCCAAGAATACTTTTAAGCACCTACTATGTGCTGGAAATTGCCAGGTGCTGCTGCCCAGATTTGATGACGGCCACCTATTGGGTACCAGGCATGGGACTCGGGGCTTCACCTGTTTTCTCACTCGAGGCTGCTGGTAGCTCCCTCTATACACCCCATTCTGGAAAGGCTGAGGCTGGGCAGAAGCAGAGCTGGGATTGGAGCCAAGGTCTGCCTCTGTGCAAAGCCCGGCTCTGCCCACCAACCTCCTTGCCACCCTCTGCCCATCACTAGAAGTGGGCCCTGGTCTGGGATGGTGAAAGCGGTGGTGTAAATGGGGGGTGCTGGGCAGCCCACCGCCCTTTTGTAAGTCTTCCTGCGTGCTGCAGCCAGTATTTTCGGGGCGATCTCAGGCTCTGTGATCCTCAGCAGTCCTGAGGGCGCCGCCGTGTCCAGCCCATGTCACAGAGTGGGACCCTGAGCTCAGAGAGGCCATGCCATTGGCCCGAAGTCTGCCGATCGGTATCTGGAGCAGACACTGGGCCTCAGGTGGGCCTGCTCCAAAGTCCGGGCTTTGTGGTTTTCAAATTTTATCTTGAAATGTAATTCTTCCAGTAACCGATTCTGTGACCTGGCTCCAAAGTCAGATGCACAGGAGCTGTCTCGGTGGCGTTACCTCTGCTCTGGTCTCTGGCATTCTTCCAGGGGTGCCCAGGGGCACGAGCTATAGAAGAGGGTGCCAGGGAAGGCCAGGCACCTTCTTTTTCTGCTCTCTGGTCAGCCCCTCGTCTTGGAAACAGGGCTGTTTAAGCCACACCATGATAAACTCAGGACCCGGGTCCCTGCAGGGCGTCCTTGTTGTGGCCAAGGTCAAAGGGCCCGGACTCCACTGAGGAGGCTTTCGCGGGGGGCAGGTGTCTTCGGCATGGGGTGCAATAGGATGAGCTGGTTCTGACACCCCATCCCGCACCTCCCTGCTGTCCCCACTCCTCAGGCTGGAAATGTGTCCTGCATCTCCCCCGAGTGTCCTCCCGGCCCCTGTCACACCTCCCCGCCCTCGCATTGCTGCACTTGTGTCCCCGGTAAGTGACTGGCGGGGGTGGAATGGACTCTTTTTGTCTGTTGGGGGTTGGGGTGTCACTTGAGGACATGTCGGGAGCAGGCTGAGTGGAGGAAAGAGAAGGGAGAGTGATTTCCATTTGAGAAACTCCTATCAAGGGAAGTATTTCCAAGCGCCTGTCTGAGTTGAGCACCTACTGTGTGCACGTGGTTTGGCTGCAGGACTGGGCCCAGCCTGGGCCGCCCCCTGCTCGGGAGGTGCTCCCATCACGGGCGTGAAGGGCTTTGAGGTCCACTGGCGTTGCTGTCTCTGGATGAGGTGGGGTCTCCCCTTCCCATGAGCGAGAGTTAGGCCTTTGTAAAAACAGGGTTCTTCTGGCTGGAGCGACCTCAGCCCTGTGAGGAATATGCCCTCTGGCTGTGTCCTTGCCCTCGGGGCCACTTGGCGGCCCGCAGTCGTGCTGAAAACGAATGGCCCAGCTGTCAGGAGCCTGCTCGGAAGACATTCTACGGCTGGGGCAACTGAGGCGCAGAGAGGCCGAGCCTCTGCCCAGACACTCACGGCCAGTTAGCGCGGGCGGAACTGCAGGCTCGGCTTCCTCTGATGTCACAGCTGGTGTTCTTATGTATTTTTTCATTCTGGACTTTTTAATGGTATATTATTTTCAATTAAAAATTTTCGGAAGGCGGAAGGTCATCCCCCCGAGGTGCGTGCTTTGATCCACCCCACGGTGCAGATGGGGAGCTGGACTCTCCCGGCCAGAGTCCCTCCCTGGTGTGCCGGGAAGTGGGCTCACCCCAGGGAAGCCTGACTGAAGCCAGGCGGGCCGGGGCTGGTTTTCAGGCTCCTCCCGCCTGCAGGGCCGGCCTCGTTCGCAGCCCTCATCTCTTTCATTTCTTCTTTTCTCCTCAGCTTAGGCTACTTAGGGCTTCCCCTGCCTTTCTGGTGAAGGACCTTATTTCCTATGTGATTTCCTCCCTGCCGGTTTTTAAGCGGCAGTGTTTCCTGTCCCGGGTTCGAGGCGGGGACAATATTTGGGTTCTCTGGGTTGGGGGTGCTGCAGGACCGTGGAAGGGTGTTAGCTTTCCCAGGGCCCCTCACCCACCTGTCCTCCTTCTTCTTCCACCCCCCTCACTCCCCAAAGGCCTGAGTGCGTTTCCCTTTCCCCCACAGTGAGGTGCTACTTCCACGGCCGGTGGTACCCCCACGGGGCTGTGCTGAGTGGGGGTGCAGATGAGTGCACCACCTGTGTCTGCCAGGTAGGGGCTGAATGATGGGGCTTGGGCGTGGGGGCGGCCCAGACCAGGATCCCTTGGCCGGGAGGAATATCTATGGCCGCAGCAGAAGGGAAACTGAGGCAGTAGAGAGAGAGCGAGCACCCACATTCCCCCTGGCCTTCCAGCCGCCTCCCAGACGCTCCCCCTTCAGCCTTCCCCTCCCTGGGGGATTCTAGAGCGCCTGCTGTATGCCTGGAACAGGCTGGGGTGGGGAGCAGCCAGCACAGGCTCATCAGGGTCTCGTGGCCTAGGCGGGCGGCGGACGGGGGGTGGGGGGCTCTTTGCTTGACTGTTGGCTTCGGGGACGCCCTCTTGGAGGGAGGGGTGCTGGGGCTGATGGGGACTGTCTGGGGGGAGCTGGGCTCCTCCACCCCAGCCTGTTGTACAGACTCCCTTGCTGCCTAGGGGTTCCGGGGTGAGGAAGCCATCCAGGGCACCATCAGACCAGGGCAGAACTTAGGGGAAAGGGTCTGTGTGGGGGTGACAGCTCTGTCAACCAGGCCAGAGGCTGCTGAGGGGCTCTAAGTGGTGGAGTCACGGAAGCGCATGGGTGGCCAAGAGAGTTCTGTGGCTGCAGAATGAGAGTGGATTGGAGTGGGAGCAGGAAGCGGCTGCAGAAGTGGGGGGGACCGTGCTGGTGGCTGTCGGGGGATGGCAGCCCATCAGCCGCCCTTTCCAGGGGCCCTCTCCCAGCTCCCCCTTCCTCCTCTCGCGCTCCCTCGGGCCTTTTTGTCACCATTTGGGGGTTAGGTGGGCAGCAGCCTGCATCTCCTCCTTGGCTGTCCAGCGGCCTGGCCCGGAGCTGCCCTCACTGGCCTCTCCCCTTGCTCTCTTCCAGAACGGGGAGGTGGAGTGCTCCTTCACGCCGTGCCCGGAGCTGAGCTGCCCCCGCGAGGAGTGGTGGCTGGGCCCTGGACAGTGCTGCTTCACCTGCCGGGAGCCCACGCCCACGACAGGTGAGGCCGCCGGCCCGCGCCCGGTCTGCGCCTGCCGAGACCGCTAGTGTGCGCGTGAGTGTGAGTGTGTATGAGTTTCTGGGTTAAGTTTGTGTGTGAGTGGTAGCTGAGTGTGACTGTGTATCTGTTTTCTTGTGCATGTTTGTGTGCTTGTGTGAGTGTGTCTGTCTGTACCCGCATGAGTATGTCGGTCTGTGTGTGCTCTCTGTGCGTGTGAAGTGTGTGTGTCTGGGTGTGTAAGCTCACCTTTGTGTGACTGTGTCTGTGTGTATGAGCTGCACGCTTGGAGGAAAAATTCACTGAGTGAGGGAGCCAGGTAGGCAGGTGAGGGCAGACTCGGGGTGCAGCGGGCAAGGTTGAGGTGCACCCCGGGCGCCATCGACACAGCATGGGTGAGCTGAGGCGTGTGATCTTGGAGGGGCGGTGCTGGAGCTCTGGTGGCCGGTCAGGGCCGCCCCCAGTGCTTCTGCTCACCGTGTTTTCTCCCTCATCGCCCCCGGCCAGGCTGCTCGCTCGATGACAACGGGGTTGAGTTTCCGATTGGACAGATCTGGTCTCCTGGTGATCCCTGTGAGTTATGCATCTGCCAGGTGAATGACAACCTGCGCGCCTTCAGCTGCTTTCCCCGCCGCCCTCCCCTAGCCCACCGCACCCCTACCCCCCATCCATTTTGGGGGACATTCTGCCTTGGACATGGTGAGGGACACACTGGCTTGTGCAGGGAGCTGCTGGCAGAGGAGATGGAACTAGGAGTCTGGATGCCTGAGGGAGGAGAGCACCCCTGGGCTTGGTCACTCAGGCCTTTGCTGTGAAATTGCTATGATTCTTTCATTAATGCAAATCACACGACCTCTCATCAAGAGGCAAGGGCAGGTGGACAGAAATGCAGACACAACTGCCCACCAGGAAACAGTCATTGTAGCTCTTTATTGGTTTCCCTTTCTACTTTATTTATTTTTTAAAGATTTATTTGTTTATACAAGAACTGGGGTACAGGCCAGATGTGCAGGAGGGTGAGAGGATTCCCCAGAGACAGAGCGGGGAACAGAACAGGCAGACTGACTGAAATACACTGCTGAGGGGAGCAGCGGGTGAGACAGGAGAGGTCTGCTGCGCCATGTGGGACCCTTGCTGGCCGGCTGGGATCCAACTGGCGCTGCAGAGGCTGCGGGCAGCTTCACAGCGCTGTGCTCAACCGCCTGTGCCACCAGGAAGGCCCTCCCTTTCTACTTTAAAAGGGTTTTTAGTGCCTATGAGTTTAGAGCTTTATTTCTCATGAGGGAACCATGAGGAATGTCAAGTCTGCCCACACCTCTGCTTAGAATCTGCACTTGAATCCCCCGGCGACGAGTGTGTCACTGGTGTGTGAGAAGCCCTAGTACCCTTGACGCACCATTTATGAAAAAGCCTTGGATCCTCACACAATTTGGAAATGTCTCATTGGAGTCATCGCTGGAGGAAAGTACCTCTGCTGGTTTTTTTCTCCTTTTTGACTCCTAGAGAAGAAAATAACACAAAAGCTCCACAAGCAGATACTTAGGAAAAAAAAGAAACCTTCTATGGCACTTCTGTTTTCTGACATAGACATTTCCGGTACAATAATTTTCTAATAAAATAGGATTTTATTGTACTCCATAGATTTGGGGTGAGCCAGGGTTCCAGGGAAGTGCTAAGAGAAGAATTTGGAGGGGATGATGGCGCAATCAATCTCAGCTGCAGCTGCTGAGACGGAGCCAGGGAGACTAAACCCCAACTCTCACCTCCCCCTCCTTGGATAGGGGAAGCCTTCCTGGAAGGCTAACACCCCCTTTTCCAAGTAACTGGTGCACTTTTGGGGAGCCCCCCCACTGTATCATGGTGCCCTTAGGACATGGCTTGGCCAGTTTGTAGCTTCCCTTTCTTTTGGGGGTTGCTGGGTAGGTGGAGTGGGGCGGGGGGTGGGGTATTAGTGAAGCTCCTCCTTCCTGCAGGCAGACGGCTCAGTGAACTGCAAGAGGACAGACTGTGTGGACTCCTGCCCTCACCCGATTCGGATCCCTGGACAGTGCTGCCCAGACTGTTCAGCAGGTAAATTCCCTGCCCCCCACTGGGGGACTGCACTGCAGTCCACATGCTATGGTAGGATCCTCAGGGAGGCCCCGAGTCCAGGCTCACCTTGTACTAAGCACCACACATGGGCTTCGTGCCAGGCCATCCTCGCTGTGACTGGTGGGGTAACCCCATTGTACGGATGAGGAAACTGAGGCTCAGAGAGGTCAAGCTGCTTGCCCAAGGCAGGCCTGTCTGAGTGCTGGAAACAGATGTGAAGCTCTGCAGAGTGGACAGCCCAGTTGCAGGGGCCACGAAGGCAAAGCTTGTGACACAGTGGACAGTGAGGCTGTCAAGATGGGACTTGATTTTTTTTAAAGATTTATTTGTTTATGCATACAAGAAGTGGGGTACAGGCGAGAGGTTTGTGGGGGTGAGAGGATTCTCCAGAGACATAGCGGGGAACAGAACAGGCAGACTGACTGAAATACACTGCTGAGGGGAGCAGTGGGTGAGTCAGAAGAGGTCTGCTGTGCCATGTGGGTAGCTCCCTGGCCAGGGATCGAACTCTGTGCTGCAGTGGCTACGGATAGCTTCATAGGCTGCGTCTTAACCCCTTGTGCCACCAGGGAGGCCCTGGAACTTGATTTTTTAATCATCGTTTTTTTCTTTTTCAGAATTACAAAAGTAGCATTTTATCTTAGAACGGCAGAAAGCAAAGATAAAAAGAGTAAAAAAAGGCCCATTATGGTTTGGTATTTCTATATAGTCTCTTTTCCTGATATGACATTGATATCGAACATGTCTGTAACATATAGCTAGATCTAACATGCAGTAGATACTTATATATTTTCTTATAAAAGATATTTCCTACCATCCACTACCCTCTTCTATACTTATCTGTATGTGATCAACATCATCTAGTGGTGGCACTGAGATTGGCCTCCTGAGGGGGCCTTGGGAAGCAGAGGTGGGAGGGAATGTTCTGGAAGGCGGGATTTGCCTGGGTGGGGAGAGCAGAGAGGGTGGCGTGATGCCTGGTGCCGGGTGGTGTCTCCTGGCCCCTCCTGCCTGGTGAGGGGGCAGGAAAGGACGCCCTTCCCTGGGGGAGAACCTGAAGTGTAATGACTGGTCCCATTGCTGAAGCCAGTTTGAAAGAAGCCAGCACTAGGCAGGCCCCGGGGCAGTGGTGGGCCTGACCTTTGCTGTCCAGATAAGCCTCAGACCTTTGCCCTGGCCGCTCCCCTCCCCCGGCCGGTGCTCAGTGCGTGCTCTCTCGGCAGGCTGCACCTACACAGGCAGAATCTTCTACAACAATGAGACCTTCCCGTCTGTGCTGGACCCATGCCTGAGCTGCATCTGCCTGGTACGGGCCTCCCAGACCTGACCGCTGGCTGCCAGAGCTCCCCAGGGACCAGCATCAGCTCCCGGCCTGGGGCCAAAACCCAGAGACCTCATGAGAGGGGCTGCCCTGGCTCCGGTGGGAGCAACGCCCTTGAACCTTCACCCGCAGGCAGAGAAACAGCTTAACCCTGCACAGCCCAAGTCCTCTGCTTCTGGGTGACCAGACAGGGCCTCGGGGGCTCCTTATGGTATAAAGTGGGGCCCGGGGAGTCTCATGCAGGTGGAGGTGAGGGACGCAAGCCCGGGGCTCATTGACGTAGTCACGTGGCTGGCTCCTGCCTCATGCCCGTTCCTGCTGTCAGCCCTGTGTGTGTAACACTCAGTTCAACTGCAGGAGAAGCCTCTGGGTGGGCGCTGCCAGGTGGTAAGAGACAGAGGCACCTGCTCAAGACCCCACAGCTAGTCAGCTGGAGCACGGGGGCTCGTCGGCCCCTTTGCCTCCTGGGAGCAGCATGTAGATAGTCACTGGGGATCTGGAAAACGGGGGACATCCTTATTGCTCAACGTGCTGAAAACGCTTCATGTGGGATGGAGCTTCTCGGCTGGGGTGGGGAGATGCGTGCAGACGCAGCTGGAAAAGGCCAGCCTCTGCAGAGATCTGGGATGCTCAGGGTAAACATCTCTGGCTGAGTGGCCACCGGCTTCCAGGAGCTTCGGCTTCCCCTGGTTTTGGGTGCTCTCTATCCTGGGTGGTTTGCAGGTCTGTTCAGCAGGTGGTTCCTGTTGACAGATGGACTCGGTGGACGAGGCAGGCCCTGGGCCCTGAGGGGCTGAACTTCTGGGTGAACGAACCCTTCCCTGCCCCTCACGGGTGGCTTGATGGGTGCTCCACGGCTGTGACCCGCCCTCCCCGGTGCCCCCGGAACGAAGGGCACTGAGTGTCTTCTGTGTCTCGCAGCTGGGCACAGTCGCCTGCTCACCCGTGGACTGCCCCATCACCTGCACCTACCCTTTCCACCCCGACGGGGAGTGCTGCCCCGTGTGCCGAGGTGAGTGGGACCAGCTGCCCCACGTCCGAGGCTCCCCGGTGGGCCTCGGCTCTCACGGCCGTCTCCTCTGCCCCTGCAGACTGCAACTATGAGGGCAGGAAGGTGGTGAATGGCCAGGTGTTCACCTTGGACGACGAGCCCTGCACCCAGTGTACCTGCCAGGTGAGCAGGGCCGGGGTCTGGGTCATCTCCGGGCCAGGTGAGCGGGGCCGGGGTCTGGGTCACCTCTGTGCCAGGTGAGCGGGGCTGGGGTCTGGGTCACCTCTGTGCCAGGTGAGCGGGGCTGGGGTCTGAGTCACCTGCCAAGTACCTTGGGTTTGGATCCTTTCAGGCACCCACTGTGTTTGCTCTCCCTGTTGCTCAGAGGAGCCTCAGGCGCTGCATCCTCGGACCTGGGATCTTCCTGTGGGTCCTGCTGCGGGTGCCTGAGGCTGTGGGGGTGCCGCCTCGAGGAGCGAGGTGGAGAAAGGTTACTCAAAGTCCCTGTGGAGCAGAGACAGCCCCGCTCCAAGGGCAGTCTCATGTTTATTTAGAGGCGGGGTCAGAGAAGAAGGCAACACGTGGGGAATGCACATTTGGGGGGATGTGTCACCGTCTGGTGCCAGCTGGGGTGGAGTGACCGGGGGCTATGCTTGGGGGCTCCATAGTTCCTGCTAATCAGAGCCTACTGTCTCCATTCCCTGCTCTTTCCTAACTTGCTGCTAATCTTCACAAGGAGGGTGTCCTGGCTGATCTTGCTCCTCTGGCCATATCTGTTTGCTGTTCTCAGCAGACACTGGTTTCCCAGGAGGTTCCTCATACCAGGACTTTGCCCTGGTGAGAGGCCCCTGCCTGACTGTACGTTTAGCTCAACCAGCAGGAACTCGGGGCACGAGACAACAGCCCTGACAACAGGAGGGCCGGGGACCCCACACCGGGGTGCTGTTCTGGTGGGCGAGGTGCCTGTGCCCCCTCAGCGGGTGTCCTTCTGCTTCCCCAGCTGGGAGAGGTGAGCTGTGAGAGGGTCCCCTGCCACCGGGCCTGCACAGACCCCTCCGCGCCCCCAGGGGGCTGCTGCTCCTCCTGCCCAGGTAAGGGGACCCTGGGTCCTGGGGTGGCACCGCCGTCTCCTCCCATTTGGCTTGTCTGCCCAGAAACATAGGACTTGTAAAGGGCCGGGTGGGAGGCCCCAGACTCAGAGAGGGGATGTGGTGTCCCCCGCCGCCTCACCCCGCGGGAGAGCCACCGTGCGTCTTGTTTCCCTCCTCTCTCTAGATTCGCTGCTTCTTCCGGAAGGAAGCCAGGGGCTGTCCCCTCGCGGAGACTCGGAGTTCAGCCAAGTGGCTCGGAGCCCCCGGGGAGACACGGAGGCCCCCGTCAACTGTAGCTCCTGCCTGGGCCCCTCGGCAGGGTCGCCGCAGAGGCCAGCGCTCCAGCTCCTCCAGCTCCTGTTAGGAGGGAACCTGTCCCAGGCGCAGACTTTAACCACGAGCCGCTCAGGAGCCCAGGCCTCACCCTCGGCCCCCTTCGGGCCAGGGGGCTCGCTCCCAGGGGAACACGGCGCCTCCCGGCCCCCTCGGCCCTCCCCAGGGCCTTCCCTCCTTCCAGGAGCCTCCCCTCTACCTCCAGCCTCTCCCGGGGCTCCTGGAACACGTCCTCTTACTCCAGAACCCTCCTCCTCCGCCTTCGGGGCCCAGACGGCATCCAGACGGCCTTTTCTGCCGGTCACCACCCCGACGGAAGCTCCCACCCTTTCCTCGACAGCCCCCAGCCCCTCTGAGAACCCCAGCACCCTCCTCAGGCCTCCTAGACTCTCTCCCACCATCTCCAGACTCTCTGCAGCCCTCGCAGCCACGGCCAGCGCACAGGAACCCGCCACGGAGGCCTCGAGGGAGGAGGAGGCCGCCCAGTAAGCAGGACTGTGCCCTGGGGACTCTGGACACAGAAGACTCTGGGAGCTTGCAGGGAGGCTTGGGACGGAGGAGGCTGAGGATGCCGAGGCCCAGCCTCTCCCATGGGGCTCTTGGCTGTGATGGCGGATCCCTGGGGCGCGACAGCCTTGTTCCTGGGAAGCGTTTGGAATGCGCTGTGAGCACTGAGGTGTCCTCCCTGGTCATCATCTCCTGGGCGGCCCACTTTTCTCTGGAAGAGGGTTGTGGGCGCTGAGCTTCCTCACTGGAGGAAGAGAATCAGGGGGCCCTGGCCTCGGCTGGCATGGTGCCACCTCTGTGTCCTTACCTGGGGTTTCCTGATTAAAGGTTGGCTCAGTTTCCCCAGGGCACCCTGCTCAATCACTTCTCGCCTTGGGAAAGAGGACAGGTCACTCCAGCCCACACCAGTGAACTACTAAGTCTTCAGCTCAGGTGTGAACCCCTCTGTTCAGTGAAGTCTGGACTCCAGCAAGCAGTGGGTGTTAGATGTTGGGTGAATGCACCCTGCGTTTCCCCTTACCCAGGATCTCACATTTAGCAGTTTGAGAAACAGAAGAGGGTGGGGTCAGTGTGCCAGTAGCTTGTGCTGGAGTCGCTGGGCTGAGCAGCCCCCAAGAGTCAGATCATCAGACTCGGTTCCAGAGACCTGACGCTGGCGCTGGCTACTGGGGGGTGAGGGGCTTGAAGACAAACCACCGTAGGTTCCTAACGAGGGGAAGTGGTCAGAGATCGAGAAATACCTCTCCTTAGCTTGTTTTGAAAGTGTCATATCACCATATCCCTAGGATTAAAGTTCATCAAATTGTATTTGGTGAGAAGTTGCCCCCATCCCACATATACCCAGTCCCCCACTTTTCTCCTTCCTGTGGCCTCTGGTTCTGGGGGATCCTTTCTGATACGCATGTATCAGAAGCAAGCAAGTTGCTAGAAATGCAGCTCTAATTACTTTCCTTTCTAATCCGAACTCCTAGGATAGACGCTGTCGTCACCTGTCTCTGTTTTCTGGGACAGTCTCCTGTCCCAGCACTGAGCACGCACGCTCAGTGTCCTCTCTGCAGCTGGGTCTCGGCCCCCCACATCCCCGCACCATTAGCTGTCGAGTCATCCCTCGCGGCTGGACATTTGGGTCGTTTCCAGGCTTTCTCTCACAAAAGATGCTACAAAGAACGGCCCCGTACTTACGTCATTTTGCACGTGTGCAAGTATGTCTGCAGGATAAATTCCCAGAAGTGAAATGACGGGGCCACTGGACCTATGTGCAGTTCTAGTTTTGATGGAGACTGATATTACCAACATGTGGGAAGGTGCCTTCAGGGAGGGTTTGGGTTCCCCTGATGATTAGATGGAGACCTTGAGATGAACACTCCTGGGTAAGTGTAGGTAAAAGATGGGGGAGCTGTGCTGAGCCCCCCAGGCCCCAGCAAAAGGAGAGAGATGAGCGAAGACGAGGCCTGAGACTGTAGAACAGAAATGTGACTCCTCACTGTTTGGAGCAAAGTGGGGGTTGTCGGGCAGATGTAGGCAGGGTCTTCAGTGCAAATGGCCTGTTTAATGGGGAGCCTCTTTCCACTCTGGATGGAAGAACCCCAGGGTGAAGGAACAGAAGAGGGGCTGGGTGGGGGAGGGTGGTCTGCAGCTGCCCCGGCTGAGGAGGGGGAGGAGCAGGAAGACAGGGAGCTTCCTAGAAGACCTTTCTGTGCCCCGGAGCCTAGCGCACCGCCTGACTTGTAGGAGGGTCTCCAGAAATGTCAGAAGAACCACCACAGCCGAGGAGCCAAGACCTCATGATGCTCCTCCCCGACACCGGAGAAGCCCACCTGCTTGTCCTGGATGAAGTATGACAGGGACAGAATGTTGAGGGGACAGGAGTGGATACATCTGCTCTCTTAAGCACGGCCTGTGTCAGATTTTCTCCTGCGTCTCCTCCTAGCTTGGTTATTTACTGTTAAAAAGCCACCTTGAGCTCACCACTCAGGCAACACTTGCTGAGCACCTACTATGCGCCAGACCCTGCTCTGGCTGCCGGGGCTTCAATGGTTGCCCTGTGGGATCATAGTCCCCGCCCTGTGGGTCTGAAACAGCTCTGGTGACTGCTTGACAGCCTTGTGCAAGGACCGTGGAGGTAAAGGAGGCCGGCCTGGCAGAGGGTGGCTGGGAAGGTTCCCAGGAAGGCAGCTGAGCCCCCACTACGCTCCCAAGCCTGGGGCAGCTTCTACTACAGTGGTGGTTAAGCTGTGATCTGCAGGATGCCTGGCCTTAGTAGGTCAGGAAAAGGGAACAGTGTGTGTGCCAAGGTCTGGAGGTGGAGAGGAGGGCAGTGTGGTGGGTGTGCAGGGCAGAGGGATCAGGCCAGGCAGGGAAGGAACGAAGGCACCAGACCATGAGGGCCTGGAAGCCACATCAAAGATTTCTTGCCTTTTTCTAAGTGCGATGCCCGGGCACTCATTCATCACAGACTCAGCAAGGGAGGGATGCCACCAAATTCATTTCAAGATGTCTCGGCCGTGGACAGTGGGTGTGGGAGGGCATACGTGGCCTGAGCAGACCTGGGGCGTAGGGTGCTAAAGCTCACCCCACCCTGCCTAGCAGCTAACACCACATACATATGATCTTATTAAACAGTGTAGACAGAGGGTGCTATGTTGAGGATAATATGCACTTTCATATAACAATATTATTATTGCCGCAGTTGTAATATTTATCTACCCATATCTATAACCAAGTGAAACAGCTCACTTTCCAGGTGAGCCTTTATTCAGGAAATATTCCCTTGGGAACCTCCTAGAAGGATCTAGAATATAGCCCGTTCCATTCTTGGTTTGAAACTTTGCTTTTCATTGAATATCTTGCCACCAAGCTCACTCCAAACAACATTTTTTAAAAAGCTCTAATTGACTTTATTCAATGCTTCCTGCATCAGGCAGCTTGTCCTCCGGTGGGTGGAGACATGCTGAGAGCACCTCGTGTGTGAGTGTGTGTGTGTGTGTGTGTTAAATGACAGATGGGGGTGATACGTCAAGGAAGTGGCTATGGCCCTCTTGCTCTTGGCACCCTGAAGTCCCTCCCCTCAGCAGGAGCTCCTGCTGCAGCCTGGCCAGTGCAGCCAGTGGGTTGCCACGGGCATCGGCTGCTGCAGAGCTGGGCGCTGGGGCATGCCCCCGTGTGCACAGGCTGTGGCTGGTCCCTAGCAGAGGCAGGGCTGAGAGCCAGCTCAGCCGAGTCAGGCGAGACACCTGGGCGGCAGGCTCCCGGGCCTTTGATGGGAACGTGTTGTAAGAGCCTTAAGGAAAGGCCTTGAACCTCACGTTCCCTTCTTGTTTTGCACTTCGTGGCTCATTGAACCTTTTGGTAGCCAGCCCACGCTGAGCCGCTCTGCTCCAAGCAGTTCCTGCTGGGGTGGATTTGCTGAGGAGCAAGCTCAGCTCCTCCCCGCGTGCCAGCTGCTCTGGGGCTGGGACAGCAGCGCTTTGGGTGACTGCTGGGTAAGGGCCCCTTCAGTGTCTGGCACCTGCAGTGTTGGGGTCTGGGTCAAGCAGCCCATCACGGAGCGCGCCCTCGGTAGTTGTGGCCTCGGTCGTTGTGGCTGTCCTGCTGTCACCTCTCACCTGCGTCTTCCAGGCAGTAGGGCCTTAGAGATGTCACTCTCCGTGGCATCTCCCCTCCACCTCTTACCTTTTCTCATGATCTCTTGTGGCTTTGGGAGAAATACGACGCGGACCCCCTCAACCAAACTCTCAGCACCCTATTGTATGAGGAAGCAATAGCCCAGCCTTTCTGGCCCCCGAGTCTTTGGGAGGTGCTCCCGCCAGGGCCCGTGGGGGCCCGTGGTCTTCCTGGCTGTGTCAGCAGCGTGTGTGGCTCCCGTCACAGGTTGGGTGCCGTTCAAGCGGTGTGGCCATTTCTGTGTCCCACCCTGTTCCGCTGACCCGTGATGTGAAGGAGACACCGACAGAGAAACGACTCGCCACACGGCACATCTTTCAGGCGCTCTGTTTTATTCTACATTATAGGTGGGTGACAGGGAGGGGCCAGGGGCGCGCCTCCACCATCCCAGTAAGAACCACGAGGACCATCACAGGGAGAGGAGGCGGGGGGCGGGGGGCCCTCTTCCTGGGGGGTGGCCGGAGGCTTAGGCCACGGGGGCCAGGCCAACCTGGTTGTTGGCCCTGTCGAAGACGGCGTAGTACTGGCGGATGAAGACGTCGCCCAGGATCCAGAGCTCGCCAGAGGCGGTGGGAACGTTCATGCCCTGCAGCCCGCTGGAGCAGCCTCCCTCGCTCTGGAGAACAGGGAGAAACACCGAAGATGGGACATGGGCTCAGCGGGGAAGGCCTCAAGGCCTGTGGCGGCCGCCGGGCAGGGCGGGAGGAACTTCCTGGCCGGTGTCCCGGGACCTGGCTCTTCTTGGCCTGGGGCTGGCCTGCATCAGCTGTTCACTGAACTATTGGTTTCCAGGGATTACTAGACATTATCCAGGGTTGCTGGCAGAGGCGTAAGCCCTGACGTCAGCATCGGAGCTCAGGGGTTTAGGGAGAACTCAGCTGCCGGGAAGGGTTTGGACGCCCCGGCGACCCAGCCTTTTCTCATTCTGATCCCGTCCAAGGGCACAAACCGGCTTGGTCTTTTCATTTACAAGCTCGCTGGACCGGCCACCTTGGCTGCGTGGGAGAATCACTGAGAGATTTGAAAACCCCCGGCTCAGGCTTCACTTGCTCTTATGTCAGCAGGTTGGGGACATCAGTACCTCCTCCTGAACAATATGGACCCCCTCGGGCAAAGCTGGTTTTCCAGCTGGCATTCTAACAGAAAGCAGATTTCCTGTGGCTCGTCTGGTTGAAGACTGTTACTTGGTAGAGGCAGCAGGAAGGTTCTGAACCCTGATCCTGCCCAGTCCTTTGTGGCCTTGATGTGGGGTCTTCCTGAGAGGACCCCAGCCACACCCTGAGCATGAGGAAAGCACCATCTCTAGTATTTAAAGGAGGAAACGGAGGCTGAGAACGGCTGTCACCTGTTCAGAATCAATGGGCTTGCCATGGAGGCCCGGGCTGGGGTCAGATGTTCCAGAAGACACTTCCTTTCACAGCATCGCCCTTGACCCCCCTCCTGGCCCTCCCCCCGCCTGGGGGCCGCCTCACATCCTCATCCCTGCACTGGGCTTGAATGTTTTCTTATTCTCCCTCCTGAGTGGATGTCAGCTTCTGTTCGTGGACGCTCCCTCATGCCAGTACGTGGCCACACCGTGTGGGGCCGGAGTCCCCTTACCTGAATGATGTAGGCGCTGGGGGGGACAGGGTACTGGACGCCGTTGATGGTGAAGACGATGTCAGGCAGGCTGTTGATGGATGAGCAGCTGACCAGCATCTAGAAGGAACGAGGGTTAACCGGCCTTTTATCCCTTCTGCGTGCTGGACAAACCACTTGGGTCAGAACTGGACGGTCAGGCCGAACTCACCATGCCGTTTGTATTGGTGGCTCCAATAAGGTTCTGGATGTTGCTGATGGCGTTGGTGGGGCCAGACAGCAGAGAGGTGCCGGTGTCCACGATGGCCTGGCAGCCGCCATTGCAAGCAACAGACTGTCCGTTCATGGTGACGCTGAGGGCGAGATGCAAGACAGGTCCCCTGAGTGCCCAGGTGTGTCTCCCCAAAGAGGAGCCAGGTGGCTCTGGGGGGGTAGGTGCGGGTTCCCAGATCCCCTAAATGCTGATGGGTATGGACTGGTGGGGGGCACAAGGCTCTCCCTGGGGGTGCTGGTGGACTGTCCTGCCTCTTGACCAGGAGGAATGTATCTATCTCCTGGCCAAACATTTGGAGTCCGAGACAGCTCCCCTCTTCCAGTGAGAGGTTTTTCCTGGGGTATCTCTGCTAGGTCCTCTCCCACCTTCTCCTGGCTGTCCTGGGGGTGTTCTGGGGAGTTGGTGAAGAAAGGGATGCGGGGCCAGGCTGGGACGCGGCCACCCATGGTGCTGTCACCTGTCCACGGTGATCTGCCAGTAAGTCTCGGAGGACAGGGGAATCCAGTTCAGGCTTCCGGTGTAGTAAGAGGAATCGATGCCGCCGAATATCACCACGCTGCCGCTCTCCTCGTTGCTGTGGAAAGTGGGGGGCAGACAAGAAGTCACTCGTCTTGGACCCACTGAACCTCTGCCATGCTCGGGCTAAGACCTGGCCCTGGGGGGGCCCTCGCCGGCGCAGAGTGGTGCTGGCCGCGTGACCTCCCACCGGGGCCCACGGTCACGATGATCATTTCCACTTTACAGCCAGGAAAGCCGGGCTCAGAGAGGTGACGCGACCTGCTCAGGTCACACAGCCTGGGAGTGGCAGAACCAAGATGAAGCCCAGGCCTTTCTGGCTCCCAAGGGTGTGTTTTCCAGCACCTACTGACTCCCATTGCTGTGGGGCCCCAGAGAGAATTGGGTGTGCGGCTTTTTGCTCCCAAGGACCCCACGGGTTCTCAGCCGGGGCAGGTTTGCCTCCTGGGGACACTTGCCAGTGTCCAGAGACATTTCTGAGTGTCATTGGGCGGGGGTGGGAGACGCCGCCCTGCAGAGCGCAGGACAGTCAAGGAGTCACCTGGTTCAAAATGTCACCTGAGCAACCTGCAGTTGGAGAGCCAGGAGAGCTCCGGTTCCGCAAAGGCGGGGTCTGCTTAAGCGCAGACTTGAATAAATGGCCGAGAGGAGAAAAGCACAAAGCACAAAGGGGCCTTCCTGTTAATTGCAGGGGTCTTGCCCCGGGGCGCTCCATTTCCTAAACCTCTGCTGTTTGGGCTGAGCCAGGAAGGCGATGCCGAGGATGATGAGCAGTGAGTCACTGTGGAACTGACCACGGATAAACGGCCGCTCACCGGCTGCAGACCCCTGACGTGCAAGGCCGTGCCCTGCAACCAGGTCACAGCACCGCAGTAGCAACAGGAGGAGAAGGTCGACAACGACAGATCTCTTCGAAAGGAAAGGATCTGCTGAGGGAGGGCCGGCAGTCCCCCGGAAGCTCTCCTCCACCCAAGCCAGGCTCCGTTTATTCTCTGTTCATTCTTAGACCGCGCGCAGCTGACACGGTCACAACTGACACGTCTGATTTGTTAATAGTTAGACAGGTGCTGTCGTTATTTAAACCGTTTTCATGGTTCCAGATATCAGTCCGGATCAGATTTTCTTTTCTTCTTGGCTATGGGATTTCAGCCCCTATTTGAAACGGGTTCCCTTATAAGGGTGGGCTCCAAGGGGACTTAAGAGGGCGCTGGTGCTGGCGAGCAAGTGCTGGAGACCCCCGAGGCCTGTGAGTCAGCCACAGACAAGCAAGATGCAGACAAGTTCGTCATGTTGAGGGCTTTGGCGGGTTCTCTCCAAAAAGGCATCCCTCCCACTTTTGACATTGCGCTTGGCCACACCCCTGCTTGCCAACTCCCTCTCCGCCCCCGGCCCCCAGCCCTAGACACCCCCCTGCGGGGCCAGGGGACCGTGGAAGGCCCCTCTCTGGCGACTTACGGGCTCAGGTAGACAGAGAACAGGTCTTGGGGAACCAGGCCCTGATTCCACATGTTATCAAAGACGGGGGTGGCTCCGGAGGAGGAGATGCTGGGGTAGGCCAGACCCAGGATGCCGTCGAAGGCGCAGTAGTACAGGAAGGAGCCGGGCTCAGTCTGGCTCAGGCCGAAGATCTGGTTGGTGTCGGTGATGCCGGCGACCTGCGGCGGGGGACCGGCAAGCTCACGTTCAGGTCTCTGGGGTCATGCCTGCGGGGACGCCCAGCCCTGCACCCAGAACATCTCTGGTTCACCCATACAGGACTCCGCTTCCCAGGGTGGCATCAGGACTGTCCCAGTGGTGCTCGAAGCCCCCGGTGGGGGTGCTGCCGCTGGCGGCTTGTGTGAGAACTGACTGCAGGGCAGGTGGTCACTGCGTGAGTTGATGACGGGAGGCAAGGCAGACCCCAGGGAATTGGAGCCCATAAGCCCTGCTCTGCGCTGGAGGGGGGCCCTGCTTGTGGAGTGTTGGTGGCTGGGGGTGTGTCGCAGATGAGGGAGGGAGGGAGGAAGAGGAGAGACGAGCAGAAGAGCTGAAGCTTCTGCTTTCTCCCTGCACCTCCTCTTTAGCATTCCCCTTGGGCGTGGCTGAGGTTGGCTTTTGGCTCCAGACGCACCCCCACCCCTTACCCACAAATAAGTGACATCACTGTGACATCACTGCCACTCTCCCCTCCTTCAACCAGGGGATCACTGAGCCCCGCTGGGTTGAACGAGCTGGTCCGTGGGTGCACTTGGCCCCCAGGCTCTCCGGGGCTCACCTGGACGGTGTCGTATCCGAGAATGCCAGTCATGCTGCCGGTGCCATAGGCGATGGACAGGGTCTGGCTGGTGGCCTTGTAGGTGGAGGACTTCGCAGGGTTGAAGCGCTTGTGGTTGGCTGCCAGGGCAAGAAGAGACAGGTCAGCCTCCAGGAGCGGAGCTGGGGTCACACCTGGGGGTGTTCTCCTGGGGTGGGGGTGCACTTTGGTTTAGGTGGTTTTGGAGGAGAAAGGTCATCTTTCTCCAGAATTTGATGTCTGAGAACCCCCAGGTTCCACTCTTGTCTGATTGAACCAGTTGGGACCATCTCACTCACTGATGGAAGTTTCCAGAGCTGACCCCAAGCCCCCCCCCCAGGAGCCCCCCAGGCGAATTGGGAGCAGCCACCGTCACAGTTCCAGGGTGAGTACAGCTGGTGACGAGGTGGAGGCTCCCACGGGCACCTCTGAAAAAAGGCAGGAGGAGGAAGGGGTTTGGAGCATCGTCGTGACTGGGCGCATAAGCTCTTTCAGCAAACTGATGAGTTAAGAGCAAGCGAGGCTGATGCTCAGCTCCTGTCTCCTGGTCATGCTTCTGAGCTCCTTTCTCGTCTTGCCCCAGCGCCCACCCTGGAGCCCTTCCGCCCCTTCTCTGACCACACCCTCTGCGCCCTCCTTTCTCCCCTCAGCTATGATTATTCCGGAGAGCTTCTCCCCAGTGGACTGAGCTCTTTGAGCACAGGGACCATGTGTGATTCACCCCTTTTTCCCCACCAAGCCCTGGGCTTGATGCATAGTTGGTGCTCAGCAAAGGTTTGTTGACTGACTCCCTGAGTGACTCCAGCAGATTTGCAATTGGACCTATTGAAACCCCTGAGTATTTAGGGCTCCTAGGTCATTGGTGCTGAGGGCCCAGGCAGGGCGGACACTCACTGCAGGCAGGACTGGAGCAGTAGACGGAGGGCACCCACAGGTTGGAGGAACCGGTGTCAAAGATGACGGTGAACTCCTGGGCAGGGGTTCCAATGCCGATGGTGCCGAAGTATGAAGTCTGTGGAGTGAGGACAGCACAGTTCAGGGACTGGGGACGTTCTACCCTGGGTCTCCCCAGGAACCATCTCTGGGTTGTGTCCTCAGACCACCTCCTGCCTTGCCCTACACTCTTCCTGTCTTTCTTTGCCTGTCCAGTGCCCTCATCCTTCAAGACCCAGCCTGGTGTCCCCTCCTCCTTGAAGTCTTCCTTGATTGCTCCCGTTACCCTCTGACTGTTCTTGCCTGAGCACCATGATCACCTAATAATAATCTGCTGTCCCCTCCTCAGCTCTCGTCTTGTGTGTCTTAGTCTTGCCCTGTTGGAGAATATGTTTTTGGAGGACAGGATCATTCGTTAAATTATTGTTCGGGAAGTAAAAAAGTTACCTAAAGATGGAACACCCTCAAGATATGTTATTCCTAATTCTAAGATTCAAGAAAGAACATTACAATGTTCTAGTGGCTACGCTTTCTTGCCAGCTTGTTTCCAGCCACACTGGTCTTGTTGAGGACCAGCTCATTCCCACCCCAGGGCCTTTGCACCTACTATTCCTATTGCTAGGAAAATGTTTATTTTAGATCATTCTTTGGCTACTCATTAATCATTCAGCATACTCACCAAATGTTGCCTTCACCAAGAAGCCCTACTTGATTATTTTGTCTAAAACTGGCCCTCTCCATTCTTCTGCCCCTTACTCTAATTAAGGAATTTTTTGGGGGGTATTTGTCATTTCCTGAAAGTATCTTACATATTTATTTTTTGGTCTCTTATTTGTCTGCGCTAAACTGTAGCTCTAGAAGCTTTGCTTAATCACTATTCTTTCCTCAGTTTCTTGCAAAGGGCCTCTGGCACATAGTAGGGACTTCATAAATATTTAAATGAATAAATGGCTCTATTACCAAGCATTCACGGAGGGCCAGGCCCTGTTCTAAGCACGCCAAGAAGACATGATTGCACTGATCCCTGCAATCGCTCTGATATCAGTGGGGCTCTTTCACAGAAGAGGAAGCTGAGTCGCACTTAGAGAACCTAAATCCTGCCCAGGTGGGTTACACAGCTGGGAAGCTCTGGAGCTCAGCTTTGCGCCAGGTCTGCAGATTTCACAGGGCATGTTCCTAATCACCGGAGCTTTGAATTGTCTCCTCTGAATGTGTCTCCTCTGAGTTGGCCTTTGCCAGCTCAGAGGAGATACATGATATCTAGTTGGGGCATCCCCAGCAGAGGGGTTGGTGCCATCTTCCTGGAACTCACCTCTGATGACATCCCCCCTTTGGTTTGGATGAGTCGGTGGCAATCAGGATGCCGCCTTCTCTGTCCCCTGGCTCACCATGCTGGTCTGGCTCCACTGCCGACCCTCCTGCCGCCCTTCCTCCAGCTCTGCTCTCTGTGGGCATGGGTCTCCTGTCCCGAAATGCCCTCTGCAACCTGTGTGAGGGGGTGCACAAGCCCCCTGCTCCCTGGGGCTCTCTCCTGTCTTCTTGGAAACCTTCACTCTTCCTTCAACTCCTGGGGGCATCCCTGTGGCCACCTGCCGGACCATCACGGCATGACCCCTTCACTGTGTAGCCTCGTCCTGGGGGTCCTTTTCACCAGATGTAGGTGCTGCCTTTCTTTCCCTGTTAGACCTGGCGCCCCGGGAGGGCGGGCTATGTCTGCTGTGGTCCCTGCCGCCTCCCCTGGGTCTAGTACGGCGCCTGACACATAAGGAGCCTTCACATACAGTGAATGGAGGGAAAAAGAAATGACTGAATGAGAGTGACCACTCTGACCATGAGCTTCCCTGACCCCTGGGCCTCTGAGCTCCAGGGATGGACCCCTGGGTTACTGCCTGTGTGTGTGTGTGTGCGCGCGCGTGTGTGTGTGTGTGTATCGGGGGTCAGAGCCCGCCCTGCCTCTCTGCCCACTCCGCTCCTGCACTCACATCCATGTAGTTGGTCATGGGCTCGGCGTCGGAGGAGGAGGCCAGCTCGGGGAAGTACTTGCTGGCCGGGTTGATGCTGTGGGTCTTGAGGAATTTGTCCAGGAGGCCATTCTCGATCAGTTTCTGCCTCAAGGTCTTCTTCTTGACCAGGGGGACCCTGCGGAGGAACATTTACAAGTGTTTGGTTTGAGGAGTGCGAGTAACAAGGCAAGGAGCCTGTTCCTGGGGGGCTCTGGAAGCCCCAGGAGGAAAGGCAGCTGGTGCGAGAGTGGAGGAAGGGGGCATCATGACGGGGGACGCTCCTGTTTGGGGCACAGCTGTGCAGAGGGGTGAAGGGGCGGCCAACGTGGCTGGGCCAGGGCTGGAGCTGGGAGCGGAGACCAGGCTGGCCTCGAGGGCTGGGTGGTGACCACTGAGCGGCCGCCGCTCCCCAGGTGCGGCGAGAGAGGCCAGGGAGGAGGCCGAGGTGGCCGGGGAGAGTGGAGCGGGACGGGGACGAGGGGAGAAAAGCCTGGGAGGAAGGAGAGCAGGAGAAAGGACAGAGCCGAGGGAAGCAGGCCCGTGTGCGGCGCGCCGGACTCACTTGTGCAGGCACTCAGAGAGCGCCACCAGGCTCAGCAGCAGCAGCCACTTCATGGTTCTTCTGGATCCCAAGTCTCCAGAGAAGGGAAGATGGGAGGAAGGTGTACAGTGCAGGCGGCCGCCGCCCCTTATATACAGCGCTGGAGCTCCCGAAAGTGCCTTATCAGCCTCCAATGCCACCCACTACCCCACCCCAATCAGAAAGTTTCCGATAAGATTGTCCCCGCCCTCAAGCCCTGTGCCGAGCAGTTTCCAGTTGAGTAGATTTCCATTGTACCCACGCCCCACTGCTGCGTGGCTGCAGAGAGCAAGGATGGAGGGAGGCCCGGTTCTTTTGCGTGCTGAGGATTTGGACAAAGTTGGGCGAAAAGTCATTTTCTATGGAACAAGTGTCCAAGAAGTTTGATAAACTGTGATTTGTTCTGGTGGGACAGGCAGTTGGGATTTTTGAGGGTAGCTCCCCAACTTCGTGATGGGCTATACTCCTGGAGCTGCTACCCTGAAGCACGTTTATAGGTTGTTGGTTGGGGGTGAGGACTCATTTCCTCACAGAAATGTTATGCTATGGGGTTGCTGATGAGTCTTTCACTCTTGCCTCTGGTGGCAGTTGGGCTGAATTCTGGGGAAGAGGCGTGTGCAACGCTACAGAGGAAAATAAGCCAGTGGAACAAGGGCAAGGAGGCTGCCTTTCTTTCCTGGAGGGACCAAACTTGAAATGGGCTGTTATTTTTGGAAGCTGTGCCCCTCGCTTTTGGCCTTCCTGTTCTGCTCCCATCCTCTCAGGTGGCTTGAATCTTCCATTTTTGGGATCCCACCTGGGTTTGACTCTTCTGGAAACATGCTTAAAACTTGCCTAAATCAGCTGCTGTAGAGCAAAGCAATCTTGGCAAATTCTGACTAGAGTGTGAATGACTTAGAGATGGTCTCTTCTTGAAAGAGGATGCTAAACAACCAAATGGATTCCGTACTTGGTAGCATTTATTCAATGGACAAAGTGGAATGGAGACTTTGATCCAAGAGTTGGCACAGAGGGAAATATGTGGGTGAGGTCTCCGGGTAAATAGCCCTGAGGGTCTTGTTCTAAGTCAGAGGCCCTGATTTTTCTAGCATCAGCAGACACAGATCCTATAAAATTCCAGATTTCCTCCAGTGCCACCGGGTAGGCATGGAGGGGTAGGCAGTGTGGTTTAGGTACAGACCAGTTGTGACAAGGGCAGAGCACATTTGCATTTCAAACTCACCTGCTAAAACATGACCTTATTTTTCACTTTCACATCTTTGGGGCTGCTTCCTGCCTGGCTCCTTCCCCCCTCCTCAAACCTTCCTCCCTTTATCTCTGCTCTTGCCTGGGGCTGATCGCAGCACTTAGCCGGAGGAACTGGTGGTGCTGGCGATGCCTGCCCAAGTCCTAGGGCACAGAGGGGAGCCCGTGGCTCAAGGCTGCTGCTGGGAAGGGGGCGGCAGGTAGGGGCCCTTGTGCAGGGGAAGGGGTGCTCCTCAGGCTCTCCAGGGGTGACTGGGGCCTTACACTGGGCGGTGGCACAGGTGGGTGTCGTTATTCTCCAAGCTTGATGCCATGCATGTCTGAAGCTGCTCATGACATGTTTTCAAAAAAGAGAGAAGGAAGGACTGAGTGTTTTCTGCATCCTTTCAACTTGGAAGCAGAGGGAACTGTGGTTGAGTGGTAGCGGGGTATGCAGGGGGCCCCCAGAACTGGGCTGCTGGGCATCAGCCACCCAGATCATCACACGTGCTTTGCTCATCTTTCACCTCCCCCGTAGTACATGGAAGCACTCATTTTATTTTATTTATTTTGCAGTAGTAGTAGGTTGTATTTTCTCCATGGATCGCTTGCTTATAGTCCTGAGTGAACTTAACAGACATGGTTCTTCAGGTTTCTAAAATGAACATATGATTAAAGACATTTGTGATGTGCAGGCAATGACTTTAGAGGTTCTGTTTCTCGGTCTTCATCTATAATTTCCTTCCCTCCCCGCCTCCCTCCCTCCTTGCCTTTTGAACTGCGGCACACCATCAGGCATCAGCACCGTAGTGCACCCGCCACCACCTCACCCCTGTCCCCCACCGCAGACCAGTGTCTCCTTCCCTCGTTGTTCTTACCCTGCCCCGCCCCTCGCCCCTCGGTGTCTCAGTTCTGTACTCGGCTCTCAAGTGCGGCCTTTTCAGCTTGTCTTTACCTGACCATTAATTTAGCTAATGGTATTAACTAAATACCACACATTTAGTGTGGTATTCCACATATCAGTGGCACTTGTGGTGACATGTGAGGCTGCCCCTTCTGGCTTCCCGGCAGAGTCTGAAAGACACTGTCTTTCCTGGGGGCGCTGACTCACAGGGACAACATGGCAGGAAGAGGGGGTGGCTTCCGGTCCACAGCTTTCGAGGGACTGAGGCCCGCAGTCTGGCAGTCTGGAAGGAACTCCCACCAGCTGCCAGGAGACTTGGGAGTGATCGTCTCGAGTCCAGCTACAGATGAGACCAGAGTCTGGCTGACACCTTGATGGGGGTCTTGTGAGGGACCCTGAAACAGAGCACCCCGCCAAACAGCCTGGGTTCCTGTGAGTTGCTTTACAGGTGAGCTGCTTTAAGAGGTTAAGTTTGTGTTCATTTATCGCCAGCCACAGACAGCTAATGCAGGGCTAGAAACCTAGAAAACTCCACCAGCTGCCTCCCACTTTTCTCCACTTGTGCGCCATTTCTGTGCTGTGCAAGGCGATTTTCTGGCCAGGCAGGAGCGGGCCGAGCAGGAGGGCATGACGCCACGGGGCTGCTGCTCTGCAAACCCCCCCAGACTTGCATTCCCACTGCTCTGCTCTTCTTCCCTGAATGCTTTGAGACGCAGGACCCCCGCTCATGCAGGTCAGAAGGAAGGGCTCAGTGGTCAGTACGTTCATGTAAATAATTAATGACCAGGAGGGATTAGAATCCCAGTCACAGAAAGTTCTGGTCTTGGGCCTCCTATGAGTCCAGCCAGGCTCTGTGGCCACACACGTCGACCTGGTTCCTGTCTTCTATCCATTGCTGGGGTTTAAGGGGGCCATTCCGTGCTGACGGCAGCCTCTGTCCCAGGGGCCTGAGAAAACTTCCCCACCGGCCCCCTTTACCAGAGGAATTCTTGGGAGAGACGGGGGGCTCCAGATGCCAGCAACACATGTTCCCGAGAGGTCTGCCTAGCGGCCGGGCCAATCGGTGGCTGCCAGCAGGGCACCCAGGCAGTCGTGTTGTGCCAGACCCGCTGGAAGGGAGATTAGACAACAGAGTTTACTTTGCCATTAGCCTGCCTGGCACTGGGCTTCGAGGGGCACTAAGAGCTGCTGGGCACCCCCTGCCAAGGGCACAGGTGTTCAGAAATGTGCCGGAACGTGTCAAACCCAGTGCGGCACGAGCTCTGAAGAGCCAAATCTCAGCGGCACATGGCAGAGCACTTCAGCACGATAGTGCTATCTCGGGGCGATAAGCCCGGGACAGCCGGTCCCCTGGGGGCTTGCAATCAAGGCCTTACCCCCTCTCTCCACGCCTCACAGCCTTCCATCCTCGGGGAGCACACGTTTCCCATGCCTCAGCCCTGCAGGGCTCCAGAAGCCTGTTTGATTTTTTAAAATTTAAACTTGTCATATTTTGGGCTCAATTATGCAAGAAATGTTAAGACAACTCACAACCCCACTACCCGGAAGGGACCACCGTCAATGTTGTAAGTGAAGATTATTTATCTGCAAAAGATGGACAGCGCACGGCTCAGTGACCCCTTGAAAAAGAAAGATTGTGTTCAGGTATTTTCCAAGCGATTTAAGTCATTTAAACATTCTTCTCGATACGCGTTATGCACACAGAAAGGTGTGAACAGGGCACAATAGCTTGATGAATTTTCCTGAAGAGAACACAGCCATGGAGCCACGGCCCAGGTCAGGAGAACATTACAGCTGCCCCCCAGCACCCCCAGGCTCCCTTCCACGCACAGCCCCAGGCCCCTGCAAATCCAAGATCCTCAGTCTCCCCTCAAACAGCAAGGACCAACGTGGCTTGTTTGGGTCTCGAGGCCCAGCCACCGTCTGCCAGGCATGTCTGTGTCTGGCTTCTTCGCTCAGGCTAGGTGTGTGTGTGTTCACCCCTGGCATGGGGCCAGTGGGTGATTTTCACCGCTGTAAATGATTCTGTGGTGCCCGTCGACATTTTAGGGAGCTGTCCCGACGGGCCTTTGGGGAGTGTCCTTTGGGGAGTGTGGGGCGTGGGGCCTTGTGGAGCATGTGGCTGTGAATGGTTTAGAACGAGCCCCTTGCTGAGCGCGAGCGGGTGTGCTGGTGTGAACCGGGAGAGGAGCGCTGGGCACATTTAGTAGAAACGAGGCAGTTTTCTGAAGGTGCTGGCGTAGTTGGGGCCTCCACCAGCTGGTTCCAGGGCCCTCTTGCTCCGTGGACACCAGCAGCAGCAGCGTTTTGGGTCCGGCCCTCCTGGCGGGCCAGACAGCACCTCCTTGTGGTTCTGGTTTGCATTTCCTGATGGTCAAGAATACCCAGCACATGTTCATGCCTCTGTTGTTCTTGGTGTTTTTTTAGGTGCTTGCTCAAACTTTTGCTCAGTCAAAAAAAAAAAAAAAGAATGTTTGCCTTTCATCATAATTTGTAGGCGTTCACATCAGTTATTTAATTTTGGAGAACATCTTTGGATAAACCCTACACACATGTTAAGCCATTATGGGGAAAAGAACAGGCGAGTGTCTGGGGAACGAAGCCTGACTAACCCCGGAAGACATTCCTATGGCTCCCCCGGGAACGGAAGGAACCCAGTTTGTAAAACCCCTGAAATAAAGGCCCTTCAAACCCTGACTCCTGAGCAACTGTCTCCTTTGCAATTTTGGGAGTTTTGGGGGAGCAGAGCTGAGAGTCCTCTTGCTCCTCCCCCCTCTTGCTGTCTGAGCCAAATGAGTCCTAGTGGGGAAACTGCCCACAGGTGCTGAGCGCTTACCTGTGTGACGCCAGGTACCAGGTGTTCTCCCCTCGTCAGATGGGTACAGGACCACATGGTACCGTTTAACA